GGCAATCCTCTCCCATGCAATTTACTGCCTCCGAAAACCCACTAGAGGGACAATTATGGGTCGTGTCCAATTTTGACAATGTTGTTGTTGTTGATTGTCATTGAGTTAAGCATAACTCATAGCGACCCTGTGAACAAAAGGCCTGAAGCTTTTCTATAACTACTGTCATTTCTCCAGGTTCATAGAGTTTCCAGAGGAATGTGGTTTAGGAAGTGGATGCTACTCCTGCTTCTAAATGTATCCTAAACTGGGAGCTCCACCAAATACTGTCCACCATGGGCAGCTTTTATGGCATTTGACACCCCCCCCCCCAAATGGCACAAGGTTCAGCATCACAGCAAACCCAGATTACCTCAGAACAGCAAATTGACAGGAGAATGCTGTGCAACTTAGAAGAATGTTCCTCCAAAATGAAATAATGCTAGGCCATTGGGTCCAACTGACTTTTAAAGGGGTGTCTCTCTCTCTCTCTCTCTCTCTCTCTCTCTCTCTCTCGTTCTATCTCTATCCCTATCCCTATATCTCTATCTATAAGCAAAAGACCTGAAGCCTTTCTATAACTATTGTTGCTTCTCCAAGTTCATAGAGTTTCTAGAGGCATGTGGTTAAGGACGTGGATACCACTCCTGCTGCCAAACCTGAGCCAGTCTGGCTCCTCCACCAAACACTGCTCATGATGGGTAGTGATTCTGGTGTTTGACACAACTATGGCACAGTTCTTCAGAATTACAGAAACTCAAAGTTACTTCAGTACAGCAAATATACTGACCACTGCTGCACAACTTAAAAAAATGTTCGTCTAAAATCAATTAACAAGTCCAATCCACTGACACCCACTCAACATTAACATGATTAACATCAAACAAAACATCTGCCAAAAGAACAAACAAATATGTCTTGGAGAAAGTGCAACGAGGGTGCTCCTTAGAGGCAAGAATAGTGAAACTCCATCTCTTGTGCTTTGGACATGTTCTTAAGACAGGCCAGACCTTGGGGAAAGATGATGCTTAGAAAGGTGGAGTGCCAGTGAAAGAGAGGAAGACCTGAACAAGATGGATTGACACAATCATTGTAACAGTGGGTTTGAGTATATATCAGAGATGATGAGGATGCCATGGGATGTTGTTCATACGGTCGCTGAGTTGTAGTTAACTCAGTGGTACCTCATACAACACAATGTGATTAATGAGCATTTTCAGTTTATATTCTTGCAAAATGTGAATTCTTTTGTGTAATATCACATGCAAATAAGATCCTGCTGAAAATTATCCAAAAATGACTGGAGCAGCACATCAGCAGAGAACTGCCAGATGTGCAAGCTGGGTTTAGAAGAGGATGAGGCACTAGGGGCATTATAGCCTATGTTAGATGGATCTTAGCTGAAAGCAGAGAGTGCCAGAGGAATGTCTATCTATGTTTCATTGACTATGCAAAGGCATTTGACTGTGTGGATCACAATAAACAGTGGCTAACTTTGAGAAGAATGGGAATCCCAGAACACTTGATTGTGGTTATGCGAGACGCATCCTTGGACCAAGAGGAAGAACAGAGGAAGAAAACATAGCATGGTTCAACATCAGGAAAGATGTACCAGGAATGCATCTTATCTCCATGACTTTTCAATCTATATGTGGAACAGATAATCTGGGAGGCTGGGCTCTATTAGAATGAATGTGGCATCAAGATTGAAGGAAGTCTTATCAACAACCTGTGCTATGCTGATGACACCACCTTGTTTGCTGAAACTGAGGAGAACCTGAGACATTTGCTGCAGAAGGTCAAGGATTGCAACTTTGACCATGGATTGAAGTTCAACATCAAGAAAACAAAGATTCTCACCACTGGGCCTATTGGCAGCATTGTAGAGGATGAAGAGATTGAGATTGATAATAGCTTCAGCCTGCTTGGCTCCACAGTCAGCACTCTTGGTACCAGCAGCCAGGAAATCAAAAGACAAATTGCATTGGGAAAATCTGCTGTCAGGGATCTCTTCAGAGTACTGAGAAGCAGCAATGTCAAGGTGGAGGCTAAGATGTGCCTGATCCAGGCTACGGTCTTTGCAATTTCTTGGCTATGCATCAGAGAGCTGGACAAGGACTAAGGATGATAAAAGAACTGATGCCTTGGATTGGTGGTGCTGGAGAAGAGTATTGAAAATACCATGGACTGATAAGAGAAAAAATAGGTCCAATCTGGAGAGGGTGAAACCAGGCTGCTCCTTAGGCAAGGATTTTGAAGCTCCATCTGACATACTGTGGGCATGTTGCAAAGAGGGCCCAGTCCTTGGAAAAGGACATCATGCTTAGAAGGGTGGCAGGGCAGCGCAAGAGAGGAAGACCCCGGATAAGATGTATTGACTCAGTGTCTAGGATAATGGGAGTAGGTGTGTCAGAGACAGTGAGATTGGCTCAGGCTAAGGCAGGGTCAGAGATGTACATAGGGTCACTAGGAGTCACAAGTGACTCGACGGCACTTGACAACAACAGCATGCATTCTGAATGTTCTTTTTGCACTCAGCAGCACTAAGTTTGAGTGCTACGTGTGCTTTAATAGCTACTTGAATGCCACTTCTAACTGTTGCTTAGAACTCGGGAGAGTGTGTCTACTCCCTGATAGATACCCAACTGCCCTGCTTTCCCTCCAGGCACTTCAAATAAGACAAAAGATTTCCTCTGTGCAAAGGTAAGTCTTTCACTGAGATGTATGTGCATGAGTGAAGCTGCTGGTTCATGTTGTTGTTGTTAGGTGATTTTGAGTCAAGTATGATGCATAATGACCCTCTGGACAACAGATCTGAACCCTATCCTGTCCTGTGCCATCCTCATCATCTCTGCCATACTGGAGCTGTGATATTGCTGGGCCATAGATCTACGTAACTGAAAATAACTGAATAGCAAGAGACGGCTGCCCAAAATGCTATACCAGTCTACTTTCCTATCAGCAATGTCTGGGGCTTCCTGTCACACTTGTACCTGTGACAGGGAATGGCAAAGGACACACTGACAAAGGAGATCAATCAGAACTGGTTTTGACAAAGACTGTGGCAATATAACAATATAAGTGACCCGGCTATATGACAATAAAAACAGACTCAAGAAATGTAGCAAAACAACAGACTCAAGGACAAGTTAAATGAGATGGCCAAAAGTCACCTTTAGAAGAAATGCACTAACCAGCTGTTTAAACCCCACTCCCTGCTAACAAAAGTTAAATAAACCCTTTTGTAAGATAAAAATGGTGTCAGTCTATCCTGACCTGTTCATAGTCTGTTTTGAACATCTAATAAACCTCAGTTTCTTTCTCTTGCTCTCACTTGGTATTGGTGTCTTTTTTGTATTTCTGAGTCAGAACTTTGTAGTTCTTACTCGAAGAGGCCCCTGGACCTCTGTTGGAAGTCATCCCCTTGACACCTTATGTCTCCCCTCCTTGTTGTTATTGGTAGTTGCTACCAAGTAAGTTCCAACTCATGATGACCCCATGTGCCCAGGGAATAGCTGCTCTGTAGGGCTTTCAAGGTCATGACATTTTGGAAACAGACCAATAGGTCTCTCTTCCAAGGCACTTCCGGGTAAGTTCAAACTGACAACTTTTTAGCTAGCAGATGAATGCTTATGGACCTTCTACCCTTGTTAAAGCTCTGTGGATCAAGCCCAGACCCCTTAACAAAGCTGCCAAGGTGCAATGACCCAGCCCTGGCCCTCCTCTCCCTTCTCACTCCAGGTCCCCACACACACATAGTTGGCCCTTGGACTCACATGCCTGTTCCCCCTCGCTTCCCTCTCTCCAGTCTTAGTTCCCTACAAAAGACATACAAAAACACCACAGATAAGTCTCTTTAAAGAACAGCTATTTAGTCTTTCATAATTCTAGAGGTTTGAATTCAGGATGTACCTCTAAGAGAAGTTATTTGACTATTTCACCATCAAGTTGCTGCCAGAAGCCCTTATAATTCTTGATTTGCATTTGAGCTTGTGTGATGGATGTGTCCTGCTCTTATAACTCAGAAATGCTTAGACTTAGGACCCACTCTTTCTAGTAATGACACCTCATTAACGTAACAAAGAGAGCACGTATTTTGAAACAGCTCTATTTTACAGGTACAGGAGTTCAGATTTTACCATACTTTTTCCTGGGGAGGGAGGATGTCAAATTAGACTTCCCTGACATCCCAGTGGACCATCTATCCATACCATCATGCCTCCCCACACCACCTCACTGATCTGTTATGCTGTGTGCTTCTGCATATGTCAACTTTGCCACTGTTGTTATTAGAAGGGGATTAGCTCTTCATGGAGAGGTATGTCCTGTAAGGTAGTGGAATGTTCAGCAGCATCCCTGGCCCCTGTACCAGACAGAAATAGCAACTCTGCTTACCCTCTAAGTTGTAACTCAAAATGTTCCCAGATGTTGTCAAGTATCGCTGGGAGTCAAGATGACCCACCCCTCAATTCAGAACCACTGCATTAGACTATGAAGTTGGGCCCCAAGATGGGTCTCTTTGTGTTGTTTTTCTAGCACCGAGTGTAGGCTTGGCCCAGGGAAGGAACTCAATAAATGTTCAAATGACTTGTGGCTAATCTCTGGGCAAAAACCAGGGTGGAACTTGGAGATCAGGGTGTTGGAAGAGGTGTGATGTCACAGGGGAGGGAGTGCACTCTTTCCTGTGCCCCAAGGGCACGGAAAACACCTCCTTTTGGTTTTATAATCACCTATGACAGAGAGGAACTGAGACACCTGGTCTCGCTGTGTGGCCTTGCACCAGCCACTTCACCTCTCTGAGCCTCAGCTGCCACACTTATAAAAGGTGGATGGATAGGCCACATGAGCCCATGAACGCTGCGTGTGAACGAAGGCCAGGTTCTTCTCAAAGTGATGGTGGAAAAGGGCTCTGACCTCTTGCCAGCCAGAGCTGGGCCTAGACTTCTCCCATGAGGAACACTCTGGAGGGAAAGATAAGCCATGTGACATTTATAGGAAATGTGCCTGGGGGTTCAGGGACATCACTGCTTCAGGGACATCTTCCAGGAATTTAGTGCCTGCATGATCCAGGAGCGTCGTTGATGGGAAGTGGACAGGTTCTCGCAGCTGGGGTTCCAGTGGTGCGTGGCAGCCTGGTTGCACACCCACGAGTCCCCATGAGGCACCGGCCAGGAGTTCCGCTGGCAGCTGGCCAGGATGTGTTCCTGGGCCTGGGCTGCATAGATGCACACTGATGCTTCTGGGTCATGTCTCAGGTTTTCCAGAGCTGGGTCACAGGCAGAGAAGAGGCAGCTTGTTAAGATCAGTACCCACATGGGTCTCCTGAGGTGTAAAACATCCTCTGGTGCTTTCTCCTCATCTTTCCTTACCACTTTGGACAATTCTCTTTCCCCAGTATCTCCTCATCTCATGTTCCTCCACAGAATTTCAGGTTGCCTCCTCTAGGAAGACTTCCTGGACAGACTAGCATGACATTCCATGAGCTCTCAGCTATAGAACGCAGACCCTGTTACCATGGCTCTGGACTACTCTCTCTGCACCTGATAGGATTTGTTCTCATTTTATGAGCCTCATCATCTCAACTAGATTGTCAGTTCTCCCAGGGGAGGGCTACAGTGATCTCTTTGTGGTGACCTCATGCAATCTAATATGGTATTCACCCTGGATAAAGACTAGCACAAGAGAATGGAATGGAAGATCTTTACCTTTGGAGATATCCCTTCCCTCTTCATATTAATCACGACAGTCTCTTCCTGTTTTCTAAAATCTCATCAGCCCTGGGCATTACTCACCAGTTCTAACTTTATTCAGATAATCTTCTGTCATTATGCTTTCCATACAGGGGACCAGGGATCCTGGAGCATGATCCAAAAGGTTAGTGTTTGCACCTCCTCACTCCAACTCCCACTGCCATCTCAAATGTCCTGAGAAGCTCACCCCACCCTTCGCAACCCCACAACTGTATACTAAAAAAAAAAGGACTTCATTTGACTGTGAGGCTGATTCTCTAAGAGGGTCCTGGGAGAGATGGCTGGCCTAGCGGGCAGGGAGGGCACCAGGACAGGAATGGTTGGTCCCCCAGTTGGTCCTTTACTCTGGTGGGGCCCATTGCGTCTTTGTAACCTAAGTTGATAGCACCATGATGGGTGGAGAGGAGACTGAGGTTGTTAATAGTTAAAATTTGCTCGGTTCCACAATCCAAGGTTCTCCTTGGAGGCTAGGATTGTTAAGCTCTGTCTCATATAGTTTGTGCATGTGGCCAGGAGGGACTGGTCCTTAGGGAAGGACATCATGCTCAGAAGGGTAGAGGAACAGAGCAGCAGAGGTAGACCCCAGATAAGATAGATTGATACAGTGACTGGAGCAATGGGAGTGGGTGTGTCAGAGTCAGTGAGACTGGCTTAGGACAGGGCAGGCTTCAGAGCTGTTGTACATAAGGTCACTATGAGTCACAGGCAACCCGACAGCACATAACAACAACAACAATGTGGACAGATACTGTCTTTGCTTCCCATTCACCAGACTTGAGTAGTAATAGTAATAACATGAAAGGCACAGAGGAGCATTAGATGCTGAGTGCCTCAAACCCATTACAGGTGTGACCACAAACAAGGTCCCTGGAGGGACAGAGAATCAGCTATGTTGGTCTGGAAATGGTTCCTTTAAAAGAGACTCAGTCCTGCACACACTGCTCCCCATAAGTCCTCAGCAGGTACATTTCTCAGCTTCCAGGCGAGCCGAGCCTGGTGCCCACCAGCCCTTGAATGAGCAGTACCATCTCTCATGACTTAACACCCTTGCCAGTGCTATTCTATGCCTGGAAGGTCCTTCCCTCACTTCTTTGCCTGGCTAGTTCTTGTGTGTCCCGGGATTAGCAGCTTAACAAGGAGTTCTCCAAGCCCTCCTGACCAATCTCCTCACCCCCAGGCTGAATTTGGGTGCCTCTCTGGGTTCTCATAGTATCTTTGAGTGAGTTTCTGTCATTCTGTTTGTGGTTTATGAATCCTCATCCTCCCAGGAAGACCTAGCTATCTACTTCTGAAAATTAGCCAATGAAGATCTTCTGAATCACAAAGGAACAATGTCCAGCTCCCGTGCTGTGGACTCCTCATCGGGAGAGGTCAGTCACTAAAGGACATCATGTTTGGTGAAACAAGAGACACAGTAAGGGCATGGGAGATCCTGAGTGAGATCGATGGGCACAAAAGCCACGAGGATGGGCTTGCACATGCTGGTGATGGTGCGGTGACACAGGGCAGCATTTCATCATTGTACATGCGGTTGTCAGGAGTTGGCATTGTCTAGCAGCACATAACAACTAGAGCATGTCTAACCAGACCAGAGGTTTTTTATTCCTAGATCTACTGGAGGGCTGAGGGGTGTCTGCATCCTAAAGTTATGTGCAAAACTGTACATTGTATGCAGATATGGTTTTCAGAAGAAAGCGTTCATAACTTTCAAAAAAGCTCTGTAACCTCAGAAAGGTCACTTTCATTGCACTAAGCTGGGATCTCAGCTTTGTTTCCTCAGCACCTTCCATGGTTGAGGGAAGACTGCCCAGATACTAGGAAATAGATCGCGAACCCCCATTTTTAGAAATGGCTCCTTTTGCACATACTTTAGAGAAGTCAGCGCCTAGGAACCAGATGTCACTCTGTGCAGGAAGCTACCTCTAAGCAGCTCTCACATTGTGGCCACCTCCAGTCCTGGGCATCCTTCCTCTGTCCCAGCACTGGACTTAACAGCAATCTATTTGTCCTCTTTTCTCTGCTACCAGCATCAGAAACACTTTGTTTTCCTAGCACTAAGTGTGGTGTCTGGCCCAAAGTATCCTTGTTAGTTACTGTGAATTTGACCCTCACTCATGATGGTCTCGTGTGTGATGGAGTAGCACTGTTCCATAAGGCTCTCCTTGCATCCAAGGTGAGGCTACCAGAAAGCCTGAGAGCTTGGGAGCAAGCAAGTCAGAATGCAGACTGGGCTGCCGAAGCAGCAGTCTCAAGTCAGGTTACCTATGAATATGACTGAGGACTTGCGGAGGGAGGCCCGGGAGTTCTTGGCATATTCCAGGCTCTGGCTGAGAAACTTGAAAGCACTGTCTTGATGGGTTCTCATCTAGGCCAAAGAGAAACACAAAAGTTAAGGCATTTGGAGAAACTAATCTGAAGAGCAGTGGTGTCTCTCTGGAGACTAAGGTGCGTCTGATACAGGCCATGGTCTTCGCAATCACCTGTTATGCATCAGAGAGTTGAACAATGAACAAGGAGGATAGAAGGAGAATTGATGCCTTTGAGCTGTGGTGCTGGAGAAGAGTACTGAGAATACCATGGACTGCTAGGAAAACAAATAGATTTGTCCTGGAGAGGGTTAAACCGGGTGGCTCCTTGGAGGCAAGGATTCTGAGGCTCCGTCTAACCTACTTTGGACATGTAGTGAGGAGAGACCGGTCCTTAGAGAGGGACATCATGCTTGGGAGGGTGGAGGGATGGTGCAGGAGAGGAAGGCCCTCTATGAGGTGGATTGATTCAGTGACTGGGATAATTGGGATGGGAGTGTCAGAGGCAGTGCGATTGGCACAGGACAGAGCGGAGTTTAGGGCTGTTGTACATAGGGTCGCTATGAGTCGCAGGCGACTCGACGGCACATAACAACAATCATCTGTTTACCCTCCTAAACCCTAAAATGGTGACCCAGTTTCGTGCCTTCTAAACTTCTCTGACGCCCACCATCTGCCTGAACTCGACCAGAGGTCAAGCTTCTTCTTAGTTGATTGTAACCATTGCTTCAATGGTGTTTCTGCATTCAATCTCTCTTCCTCTAATCTATTCTGTTGCTGCAAGTAGAGAGAAAATCCTAATGCTCAAATCCAAGCAAAGCTAGAGGTGGACATGACATGTCATGACAGACATACATAAAGAGACAAATCTAACCAGGTTGAAAGATTAAAGATACTGAGAAGCAAGGGAGTAAACTAGACAGTTGGAGGGTCTTAAAAGCCAGGCAGCAATACTGTTGTTAGGTGCCATTGAGTTAACTACAATTCATCGCAACCCTACGGACAACAGAACTGAATCCTGCCCTACCCTGCACCATCCTCACAATCTCTGTCATGCTCAAGCCCTTTGTGGACGTCACTGTGCCAATACTTAACGCATGAGAAACTAGGAAGTTAGCATTCAGTCTTTATAGGACAGTGATAAAACAATGTTTGGAGCAAAATAATTTGATAGTGGTAATCAGGAGTTTAAATCAAGTAGAAACTGGACAGCAGGTATTCAGCCAGGAGACTGCTGACAGGGATGAAGGGAAATCAGATCTGATCATTCTTCTGTCGACAGCTGCTTCAGGTCAAGATCTAAATTCCTAGTCGCAGGCAGAGCCTTCACAGTCATATTCTGAGTCTGGCATTCCTTCCCAGCCGCCTTTCCCAGCACTGCCTCTGCCTTCTATGCAGACCAGGTGCTAGTTCAAGGACGTAGTCCAGCTTTCCCCAGATAGACAGACTTCTTGACATCTTTGTGTTTTTCACAAGTGCTCGCTCCTGTTTGTGGCATTCTCTTCATCTGATAAGTTTTATCCGCTGAGGCTCAGCTCAGAAGACATCTCACCCCTGAAACTTCCTTAGCCCTTAGGCAAAGCTCATCTTACCACCGATGACATTTCTACAGCATCTCGCAATTCTTTGTCAGAGTAGCTAGCAGTGGTCATGATTATTTATTTATACTTGTCTCCTTGGATTCAACCTCCCAAGAGAAGAAGCTATCTCACTCCACTCAGAGCCCTCGGCACCCTGGGCAGGACCTAGTATGGAGCCACTGAGGAAACCAAGATATCAAATGAATAGAGAAGAAGGAACTTCTTAAAGCTGAGGCTAGAGATGGACCTCAGATGAAAAAAGCTGTTGGCTGCGTGGAGTAAGAGGGACCATCAGCTCTCTTTCTGCAGCTCCACAAGTGCCTGCGGCGCTGTGATTGGCACAGTGTTAAACGCAGTTATTCTGGTGGTGGTGTTGTTAGGTGCCTGGATTCACAGTGACCACATGCACAACAGATCCCGTGCCATCCTCACAGCCTCCACCTCCGCACACCCATTGTTGCAGTCCTCGTCAATCCGTCTCTCTGAGGGTCTCCTCTTTAGCTGCTCCTCTACATTTCCAAGCACTGATGTTTTCTCCAAGGACAGGCACCTTCTGCTGCATGCTCAAAGGATGTGAGATAAAGTTTCACTGTCCTTTCCTCCATCCGGTTTCCAGACATGCTCATTGTGACTGGGAAAAACTGCTGAATCTCTTGCCCCAAGATGATCGTTAAGCCTTGATGAAGTCAAGTTAATCCCATGAAGTAATCTATAATCTAGATAAAAATCTGGCACAACTAGTAAAGAATATCATGTTTTCTTTTTAAAAATGACATGAGAACAAATTGACAATATAAACTCTAGCCTACAGGGGAGAAGTTTAGGAGACACAGGTTACATCAGTGGTAGTGAAGTAAAGGGTAGAGATGGCAAAAATGGTGACACAATGCCGAGAATGGAGCCAATGGCATTGAAATATACATGTTGAAAATGTCAAATGAGTGTATGTTTTATTATGTATACTTTCATCAAAAATAAAATTTTTAAAATCTGAGTTTCTAGTTCTTCATTTCACCTGGAGGGCCTGGCCTGAACGGCCTATGAGTGATAAGTGAACTGGGCTCTCCACTCTTGCTTTGATGGGTCTGGGCTCTCCAGATTGCCCCAGGCCCCAGCACACCTCCACATTCCTCACTCGTGGGCATTATCTCCTCCTGGTCACTCTAGGCATCTGAGTTAGTGACCCTGGTCAAACCTCCTCCACCTCTCCCCCCCGCCTTGTAAAAAGTAACATTGCTAGATACTTGACAGGTTTTGAGTATGAGTGATAATGCAGGCGCCACGTCCATGTCTCAGTCATAATGACAGTTTGTTGTCTGTTTCTGGTGGATGCAGGGAAGCCCCAGCCAGATCTCCCTTCAGGTATGAAGGATGCATTCCCCCAGCTATAGGGATCGACTTAACGAAAGAGAAGGACTTTGCCCAATGCCAAACACCTTCCTTTCTCTCCCTTCATTTATCCCAAGGTCACCCCCCCCCCCCAAGAAACCTCCCACATGCTAATCTCTGCCTTAGAATCAGCTCCCTGAGAACTCAGCCTATGACAACAAGAGGGTTAAGACTGGCACTACATGGCAAAGTTCCCCAAAGTTCATTCGGAGGAACTGGGGACTGTCTCCTGCAGGGCAGTGTTCCACAATATATCCACAATATCATTCTAAAAAGGGAGTTCTGTGTTCATTTGAGAAGCCACAAACTAAACAATAGCAAACATATTTCTTCAGTGTAAGACCTCTCAGAGACTTGAATGTGTGCGAATGGCATTACAAACCTCCAAGAAAAAATGAAAAAGATGATTATGCTTATTTGCTGTGGAACTTCTTTTCCTCTCTGTGGTGTATGTCTTGTGGAACAGGTATTGCAAGAAATACACCCTGAGATTTGCTGCTGTAGAAAAGCAAGCCAACAAGGCTCTTTAAGTAGTGATATAATATAGACAGAATAGTGTTTCAACAAAATCACTCAACCACCTGGGTGGGGATTGGCTTAGCAGGGTCCAATGAAAGACTGGAAGACTTGTGGGATGGCTGCATGTAAGGTCCTCCTGAAAGATGTTCTTGGCCTAACGGAGTATAATTACCATGGGAATTTATAGGGAAAAGTAGATTCAAGAGAAATTTAAGATATTTAAGATTGATCAAAAGAGGATGGGAAGGGAGATGAAGGAATCCAGGATGATTCTAGGTTTCAGTTTTGAAAAAATCAGAGGAAGGGGGCTGAATTGAAAGGAAAAATCACACATTCAGAAGAGAGATGCTTAACTTCAAGCTGCCTATAGCTCATCCAAAGAGAGGTATCCAGGAAAGGCCTGGAAAGGAAACACTAGAGAGATGACAGAGAGGGATGGCCATTTAGGAGCTAAGGACCTGCGGCCACACAGGATGTTTGTATAAGTAGATGCAAAACATAAAGATTCCTCCACCCCCGAGTACTCATAACCAACCGCTATAGACCCTGAAGCGCTCACAAGGTACTGGCAGATTTTGGCCACTGTCTTCTTACGGTTGTCCCAAGACTTGCGGCTGTACACTCTTTTTGGCAGCTCCCAACCCATGAAGCAAGAACAGCGGAACAGCGTCTTCACACATTCCTGGGGACCAAAAGGAATAAATTACCAAAACTACGGGATTCCAAGACAACAGAATGTTCCAGAAAAAGGAGGGGGGGATGTGTGAAAATTGGATTTTGGAAAAGCAATTCCTGTTTGAAATGTGTGAGAGTAGCTTGACTGTTTGACGAAGGTGGGTGGGTACGTTTGGACAAAAGGCTTTTACAGAATATAAATAACTGGCCCTCGGTGGATTGTTTCTTGATTCTGATGAGGTCTCTGTAAAGAGGGTGGACCTGTGGAGCCCGAGGGTGGGGCTGCGGGCTCGCGCCCATGGTACACTCACCTGGGTCACCTTGGCGTTGCCCTCTTGCTTGACCAGCAGTAGGGGCACCAAGGTGTTGATCAGCTGCTCCTCCATGGCGTGGGTGCGAGGGGCCCGCAGCTTCTGGACCACTTTCCCATACATGTTGATGCATGAGGAACGCACTTGCTCTCGGGACTGGGGTGAAAGGGCAGGCTCAGAGGGCTCCCTTTCCTTAAGGCCCCACTCTCTTTTTTTCTCTTGATCCTGCCCAAAGCACTGTTGTTGTGTACCGTGGAGTTGGAACCAACCCATAGTTGACCCTCTAGCGTGTTTTCAGAGGCAGTTTAATCACATAGGAGGAGATTGCCCATCCTTCTGCAGAGAAGCTGCTGGATTTGAACTGCATACCTTTGGGATTGCAATGCCACTTCTTACCACGGGGCCACCGAGTTACCTACCTGAAGCACCAGGACCTTCTTTTCACACATTCTGAGGGGTCTTCCAAAGGCACACAGGGGGCTGACCCCAGCGGGGCTGATCCGCTGAGAGCACTCCCTATCAGCATAGGTCCCAAGCTCTCCTACTCTTCCAAGCCAAGGCCTCCACTAACTTAAAAGATGCCTTAGTGCTGAGTGCAAAAATAACCCCCATTGCTGGGAGGAATAACATGAATGTGCTCCCTGTAAAAAAACCAAACCAAACAACCTCAGACAGATTGCTGGCGAGTCTGACCCAACTCATAGTTGACGCTGCAGTGGATTTTCTGAGGCTGTAAATGGCGCACGGAAGGGAGTTTCCCTTCTCCCGCCTGCCAGGGTGGCTTTAATCACCAAAGGGGCACTGCCTTTGATTCACAGTCTTAACTCCTCACCGACTAGGCCACCAGCGCTCCCTCTAGTGGTCAGAATAAAGTCATCTTTTCTGGGAAGATTTGATTACAAGAGTATCTACGAACCTTCTCTAAACAGACTCATTTAAAAAAAAAAGGATCTTTATTTTTTAAAAAAACAAAAGTACAAGAGGAACATATAATTAGGAATTATATATATGACAACAATCTGAAATAAGGGGTGGTTTGGAGACGGGTAGGAGGGGGGAAGAAAATGTTCAACAAAGAAAAAAAATTATAATAATAAAAAAAGATCTTTCTAAGTAGAGTAATTAAAAAATAACGGAGCTCTGGTGGCCGAGAGGTAAGAAGCTGCACTGTGATCCTGAAGGCACAGAGTTCCAATCCACCTCAGTGGGAGGAGAATGGGTAATCTCCTCCGGTTTCAGTAACTGCCTCTGGAAATCCACAGAGGGTCAGCTATCATTACTCGGTTCCAACTCCACGGTACACAACATCAAATAGGACAAAAAGAAATTTCTCTGAGCGAGCCAATTCGAAAAAGACACTTTTCCTGGGAGAATCAATTACTAAATTACAAGCTATGGACCATTTGGAACAAGGCGCCCTTTCCTCAGGCTAACAGACTCTAAGGACTGGGATACTGTGAGGCACTGCAATTCCCAGGGTGGCAAAAACCCGCCCACCTCTGCCATTCCCCTTCCCAAAGGCCCGAGTTACTCCTTACGTCACTGAAGTGCGGCAGCAGGATTTGCAACATCTCCACATAGACTGAATATTCAAAAAACTTCCGGTCCTGACCCTTGAAGAGGACCTTGAGGTTGTGGACTGCTTCCACCACCAGCTGCCCATCCACGCTCTGCAGGCCCTTCACCATGGAGGGCAGGAGGGCCTGTACCTTGGCTGTCTGTGGGACAGAAGTGTCTGGAATGGAGGCTCCTACCTCGATTAGATTATGCTTATACTCTGACAGGAGTTCTGGTGGTCTAGTGGTAAAGGAGCTGCACTGCAAACCTGGAGGCACTGTGATTCAAATCCACCTGCTGCTCTGTGGGAGAAAATTTACTGCCTCAGAAAACCTGCTGAAAAGTCAGCTATGAGTTGGTTTTGACTGATGGAACATAACAACCTGGGCTGGCAGGGGGGAGACTCTGCTTCTGATTCATTGAGATGACTTCAGTAGCAAATGTCCTCTGCAGGCTTCTATTTATGCCATCCTACCTACCTGAATGCCATCATGGAAACTCTTGTTCCCCCTAGAAGCCTCTTTTGACCTCTCTGGTTCCTTGGTGACCCACATACCTGGGTCCCACCTTGGCACCAGGTAGTCAGGGCCCTGCACTGTCATTTCTTTCTGGATCTATGACATGCTCCTTCATCCTGAGCTACATTATGAGCTGCAGCAGGGCATCGTAGAGAGAAAAAAAAAAAACGCTTTAAAAAAATTAAAATCTAATGGTGTACCAACACTCTAGGCCTTCATTTCCTGATCTGTAAAGTGGGAGTAATTACCATAGCCTCTGTCCCTCATGCATTCATTGCTATAAAACCTATAAAAAAAACCCCCAAACCTAGATTAGAGACCTGAGAGTAAAGCCTAAAACCATAAAGTTCATCAGAGACAAATTGGAATCAAGCTTAGATGGCCAAGTCTATGGTATAAAGAAACTGCCAAATACAGCCAGAAAGGCACACTCTGGAGAGGATAAGATTGATGAATGGGACATTCTAAAGATTAAATCTCTGTGTGCATCAAAAACTTTTTCCAATAGTGTGAAGAGAAAACCTTCCAGCTGGGGAAAAACATCAGACAAGGATCTCATATCAAAAGTTTACAGAATTCTACAGGGCCTCCACAAGACAAAGACTGATCAGACAATTTAAAAAATGGGCAAAAGACATGGAAAGATCACAGAGGAAGATATTCAGATGGCCAGCAGACACATGAGGAAATGCTCAAAATAACTGGCAATAAGAGAGATGCAAATCAAAACCACAATGAGATACCATCTCATTTCAGTAGCAGTGGCAAAGTATAACAGGACAGCAAGTAATAAATGTTGGCGAGGATGTGGCAAGATAGGAACTTTAAAAAAAAAGATAGGAACTTTTATATACTGTTGGTGGGATTGTAAAATGGTACAACCACTCTGGAAGCCAGTTTGGTGTTTCTTCAGAAAGCTGAACACAGAAATTCCATATGACCCAGCTATTCCACTGCTTTGAATATACCCCGAGAAAGTGAGAACTGAGGCACAAATGGATACCAATGTTCATAACAGCGTTATTCACCATCGCAAGAACATGGAAACAGCCCAGGCATCCAACCACAATTGAATGGATTAAGAAACTGATACATTCACTCTATAGAATACTATGCAGCTCACAGGAACAATGATTCTGTAAATCACTATCTAACTTGGGAGGAACTGGAGTGCATTATGCTGAGTGAACTAACTCAGTCCCATAAGGACAAATACTGTATAAGACCATGGAGGGAGGGATGAGTTAAGGAAATGGGAAAAATCTAGTATGGAAAAACAATGGATATGGAGTTTGTAAGTAAAATAAAAAGTTTATATTAATTTTTTTAAAAATCTGGATTAGAAACTATTTTAAAAAGAATAGAGCAAATAGAGGATCATTAAGGGTTAGTTCCTGGATGTCACATATGACTAAATGCGGAAGAAAGGCCTGGCAATCTGCTTCCAAAAAGTCACATGTGAAACCCTTATAGACATAATTCTACTCTGCACAAATGGGTTTGCCATGAGTTGGAATCAACAACAACTGACAAGAGCATTCATTTTATAGATGGGACGTTTGCTGCTGGGATAGAAATAGTGTTCTGATTCTGGTCACCAGCATCTATGACAGCCAAGCTCATCCTTTCCCCAACTGGCAACATGGAAGGACCAGGCTCTTTTCCAACTGTGCTCACCTTCTCAGTCCTGCAGGCCAGGTTGACCAGGCCTCGGATGGACAGCACCTTCATGATGGGGTCTCGGTGGCTCAGGCCTTCCGCCATCCGCCCCAGAGAGTACTCCTCAGGGATCCGCCGCACCTGCTCCATCCGGAGGAGCTAAGGGAGCAGTCAGGGAATTAGTCACTCATGGGGACAGAGTGCCAAAGGGGCCCACTGGTCTCCCCAGGAAGAAGTAGTGCAGATAAGTTAACTAGGAGTCTGAGTGAGTAAGTGAATGATTGTTGTCTGGGTCAGCATTGTCCAATACAAGTCACTCACTGTCTGCTTCTATAAATATTACAACCAAGCAAGCGCCATGGATTGACACTCAGAAAGGAGCATGTGTGGATGGTTACCGGGATGGGAAAGGTTGAGGAGAGGGTTAAATTCAGAAAACAGATAATGTTGTTCATCACTTTCTAGTCAGAGACAACCCATAGCTGACCTCCAGCAGGTTTTCAGAGGTTTTCCTCCACACTGGAGGAAACGGTCCATCTTTCTCCCATGGAACAGCTGATAGATTCAAACCACTTGCCTTTGGGTTGGTAGAGTGATTCCTTACCCAGTAGACTACCAGAGCTCCCTAAGAAGATAGTAGGTGTATATTAAGATGAGTAACAGGAAAGGCAGAATATAACAAAGCTATGTTCAGCACATTAAATAAAGGGAAGAAACAAAGAGATGCATAAGAAGAAAAACTATATGAACTTTGTAAGTAAACCAGTATAAAATAAATTTTTTTAACAAAGAAACAAAAACAACAACAAAAGAAATTCAGCCAATAAAGGTAAACACTATTACATACACAAACCTGCAGTATCAACAACAAAAATCACTAATGTACAAGCAGGTGTATAGGTGGACAGGCAAGATGAACAGATACAGCAGGTGAAAGGGACCACTATTAGTATATGCGGTAAATATATCCATGAATTTAACACAGGCAACAGGGACAAAGTTATGTAAAGTTTTTAATCATAACCAAACACTTTAAGGGAGTGAGTTTCTGGTCCTTGGGCCTCAGGACCATAGTCTCTGAGCCTATGAATGTGAAAGGGCACAACACAATCCACAAAGACAATGTACTACATCCTACTTTGATAGGTAGAGACTGCGCTCTTAAAAGCCCTGGAGTAGCCATTGTAGGTTCAGCTGTTGGCCTCTCCCTGTTCAAAACAAAGAAAAGAGATGAGAAGCTAAGCTGTGAAGGGAATAATTAGTTCAAAGTCTAATGGGCCATGCAAACATCCACCTCCATGATCCTGAGACCAGAACTAGATGGTGCCCAGGCATCACTGCTGACCACTTGAAATGGAACACAGTAGGTGGTCTTGGGTTGTTGTTATGTGCTATCGAGTTCACGCAGCCCTATGTACAATAGCCCTGAAACCTGCTCTATCCTATACCAAGTTTACTGTCTCTGACACACCTACCCTCATTACCCCAGTCATTGAATCAATCCATCTCATCAATGAAGAAATTACTGAAGATGGAAGACTATAGCCTCCACTCACATCACCTCAACATCAAGAAAACAAACATCTTTACCCCTGGACAAGTAGGCAACATCATGATGGATGGAGAAAAGATTGAAGCTGTCAGGATTTAATTCTCTTTGTTTACACAATCAACATCCACAGAAGACACAATCAAGAAAGCAAACAATGTATTTATTTGAGAAAATCTGCTGCCAAGGAGCTCTTGAAATTGCTAAAGAGCAAGATTAAGATTTACCCAATACAAAGCCAAGACCTTTCCAATTGTTTCATATTATTTATATGCAAGCAAGATTCTTCTAAAAGTTGTCAAAAAACAACTGGAACAGCACATCAGCAGAGAACTGCCAGATGTGCAGGTGGGGTTTAGAGGAGGTCGTGATACTAGGGATATTGTAGCTAATGTTAAATGGATCTTGGCTGAAAACAGGGAGTACCAGAGGAATGTCTGTTTCATTGAATATACAAAGGCATTTG